CTGCAGAGAGCACAGAGGCTTGAGGTGGGGTATGCTCAGTGTCGTCCAGGGTGAGTGGAGTAGAGGCCAAAAAGAGTGAGGTGAGGAGCGGTGCAGTGGAGGTGGGAGCCACTGACCTGCTTACGCGAGCTGCACATCATCATTATAATCATCTGGGAACTTTACGAAAACTACCTGTCGGCATTGCCCACCACCGGGGCATCGAACTAATCTCTGCCGTGCCCAGCCAGGGCATGGGCCCCAATCACATGCCAGCCAGGGCGCATCAAACTAAATCTCTGCCGTTGCCCACCCTGGGGCATCCAAACCCCCTAAATCTCTGCCGTGCCCAGCCAGGGCATCGGGCTTCAAATCTCTGCCGTGCCCACCTGGGGCATCAAACCTAAATCTCTGCGCCGTGCAGCCAGGAGGCATCGGGCCTAATCTCTGCATTGCCCACCCTGGGGCATCGAACCCTAAATCTCTGCCGTGCCCACCCTGGGGCATCAAACCCTAAATCTCTGCCGTGCCCAGCCGGGGCATCAGACCCTAAATCTCTGCACATTGCCCCACCTGGGCCATCAAACCCACTAAATCTTTGGGTGGAGACAGTGCCCACCCTGGGGCATCAAACCCTAAATCTCTGCCGTGCCCAGCCGGGGGCATCGAACCCTAAATCTCTGCCGTGCCCACCCTGGGCCATCAAACCCTAAATCTTTGGGTGGAACCCAGGCACTGGGATTTTTAGGAGTTTCTGCCCTGGGTCCCCCATCAGTCCCTTTCTCTGGGTGACTTCATCGGGGAGTCACTGCAGCCACTTCTCCTGAGCAGTGTTCAGTGTCATCAGTGGTGAGCGAACTCTGAAGCCAGAGTTGGGAGTTGAGGCACACGGCCTTGGAGGACAGGGACTCTCAACGTGTGCTGTGGGTCAGCAGCAGCAGCAGCCCAGGAGCCTGGTAGAAATGCATCTTCAGGGCCGGGCGCAGTGGCTCAAGCCTGTAATCCCAGCACTTTGGGAGGCCGAGACGGGCGGATCATGAGGTCAAGAGATAGAGACCATCCTGGCTAACACGGTGAAACCCCGTCTCTACTAAAAATACAAAAAATTAGCCAGGCGAGGTGGCGGGCGCCTGTAGTCCCAGCTACTCGGGAGGCTGAGGCAGGAGAATGGCGTGAACCCGGGAGGTGGAGCTTGCAGTGAGCCGAGATCGCGCCACTGCCCTCCAGCCTGGGCGACAGAGCGAGACTCCGTCTCAAAAAAAAAAAAAAAAAAAGAAATGTATCTTCAGGCCCCTACCCTAAACCTGCAGGCTCAGAAAGTCTGGGCTTGGGCCCAGCAGCTTCTCTCTTCCCCAGCTCCAGATGCTGGGGACATACTGAAGCCTGAAGACTACTGCCCTGGCCAGGGGTGGACCTCCGCAAAGACATTTGCTTTTACTGTCGGAGAAACCCAGAGCTATCGGAAGGTTCCGAGCAGAGGAGTGAAGTGGCTTTGCCTTTCCGCAGGGTTCCGCTGACTGCTGTGTTGAGAGCAGACCTGGGGTGCGAGGTGCCAGGGGAAGCAGATCCTGTGAGAGGCATTTGCAGCCATTCAGGAGGGAGACAGTATTGGTGTTGGGGGAAGTCACTGGTTCCAGATGTATTTCCCAGGGAGAGCTGTTGGTTTGCAGTGGGGCATGAGAGGAAGGGAGGAGTCTGGAAGATTGGCCTGAGCACCTAGAAGGTACGGCGGCCATCTGTTGAGATGGGGAAGCTGGGGCGGGGTGCAGGTTTGCGGGGAGGTCAGCAGCTCTATTTGGACCTGGTAAGTTTGGGATGTATTAATTTTCTATCACTGCTGTGACAGATTCCCACAGATTCAGAAGTGGCTGCAGTGGCTCCCCCATGAAGTCACCCAGAGAAAGGGACGGATGGGGGACCCAGGGCAGAGAGTCCCCCAAGAAACTCCTAAAAATCGCAGTGCCTGGGTTCCACCCAGAGATTTAGGGTTCAGTGCCCCAGGGTGGGCCTGGCGGGTATTTTTTAAAGTTGCCAGATGATTTGGTTTCATTCCTGAAACCAAAACAAATTTACTGTGGTATAGCTCTGTGGCTCAGAGACCTGCAGGGACCTCCCTGGCTCATGCCTGTAATCCCAGCACTTTGGGAGGCTGAGGTGGGAGAGTCACGGGAGGCCAGGAGTTCCAGACCAACCTCGTCAACATAGCAAGAGCCTGTCTCTACAAAAAAAAAGGTCCAAATGGAGCCATGAAGGAGGTGTTGGGGTGTACGTGTCAGGAATTTATCAGAGTAGTCTGGCTGAGAAAGAATTTTACAGGCCACCGGCAAATGTGGGGATACAGCACTGTGAGACTAGGGGAGTCACCAGAGAAGTGGGTAGGACAGGCCAGGTGGAGTGGCTCAGGCCTATAATCCCAGCACTTTGGGAGGCCGAGGAGGGCAGATCACTTGAGGTCAGGAGTTCAAGACCAGCCTGACCAACATGGTGAAACCCCGTCTCTACTAAAAATACAAAAATTAGCCGGGCGTGGTGGCAGGTGCCTGTAATTTCAGCTACTTGGGAGGCTGAGGCAAAATAATCACTTGAACCCAGATTGCAGTGAACTGAGATCATGCTACTGCACTCCAGCCTGGGCAACAGAGCAAGACTCTGTCTCAAAACAAACAAACAACAAACAAGAAGTGGGTAGGACAGAAAGGGGACCAGATTCAAGGGCCCAATCTGGGGCCCTCCAGCATTTGTTAACAGGTCAGGGAGAAAGAGCAGGGTCCGGAACACTGGAGAGCTGTGTCCTGGAGGCCAGGGGAGGAGGGGTAGCCGGGGAGGGAGGGAGTGGTCCTGGGGTCAGAGGCCGCTGCCCAGCTGGTTGTGGACTCTGAACATCCAGGCTCCAGGTCACCTGAGGACAAGACCCAGCACCGGACTTAGCAGCCCCTCCTGGAATCTCCATGCCCCCCCCCCCCCCCTTCCCCCCAGCCCTCCCTCCCCTGCCTTTCCCCCCAGCCCTCCCTCCCCTGCCTTTCCCCCCAGCCCTCCCTCCCCTGCCTTTCCCCCCAGCTCTCCCTCCCCTGCCTTCCAGTTCAGGGACATCCTGTTGCCAGTTAGGGGCTGACCAGGGGGCCTGCCAGGGCCCTGACCCACTGCCCCTGCCTTTCCCCAGCCCTCCCTCCCCTTCCTTTCCCCCAGTCCTCCTCCCCTGCCTTTCCTCCCAGCCCTCCCTCTCCCCTGCCTTTCCCCCAGCCCTCCCTCCTGCCTTTCCCCCCAGCCTCCTCCCCTTCCTTTCCCCCCCAGCCCCCTCCTGCCTTTCCCCAGCTCCTCCTGCCTTTCCCCAGCTCCTCCCTCCCTGCCTTCCCTCCAGCCCTCCCTCCCCTGCCTTTCCCCCCAGCTCTCCCTCCCCTGCCTTCCAGTTCAGGGACATCCTGTTGCCAGTTAGGGGTTGACCAGGGAAGATTCTGCCAGGGCCCTGACCCACTGACAATGCCAGACCTCCTGGTCATCACAACTGCTTACCAGACATGTCCAGGGAGGGACAGGAAGGCAGATGCTTTCCTGTGTGGAGTTGATAACAGTCTGGTCACACTCCCTGCAGGAGGCCTCCTGTCCGTGGCTGAAGAGAGTGTGCAGCCTGTCAGGTTGTTGCTTCAGTGATTTGGGGGTTCCCAGGCATCTGCCCCCTAAACCTGGCACTCTGTCCCCATGGCTATAGTCCCACCATTAGCCAGATGGGTTAGTGAGCAAGCACTGAGCGTGTGTGCCGGGGTGGGAGCTGTAAGGGCCTCTCAGCTGGGCGGGATTGGATTCTGACTGGGGCAGGGGTGTCTCCTAATGGGAGGACTGAGCCCTATGCACAGAGTGAGTGAGTGGCCAAGACTCAGGAGGCAAGGCCCTAGGAAGAGAAAGTGCTTTCCATGCAGAGAACCTGGGTGGGGGCCTCCCCAAGCACTCCACACAGAACTGATCCCCGAGGGAGAGCAGCTGACACCAGGCCCCTCACTGGATGTGGCCGTGTGGTCCAGTTCACCTCCCCTACGAAGGGCCTTCTGGGATCAGATCAGATTCAGGGGCCAGAGTGGGAGCAGCTGGCATTGGGCTGGAGCCGGGCATCCCGGCCTGCAGGCCCTGCCTCGTCTAGCACACTGGGTTTTCCCCCGTTCGAGCCCGGCTTGGCTACCTGCTTACAGGGTGACTTCTCTATGTTTAACCTCCTTGAACCTCACCTTCCTCTTCTGTAGAATAAGGATAATCATACCTCCCAGTATCCACTTTAGCCAGAGCGGGTGCTGAGCCAAAAACACTTTGGAAAAGTTGAAAGAGGAACTCGGGTCTCAGAACTTCAGACGGGGAGGGCAAGCAGAAGTGGGTGCGGGCGGGCGAGGCAGATGCCGCCCCGACCCAGAGCTTTGTGACCACATCTGTGGCATGAGGCTTAACTTTGGCCTCTGCTTCTCTTCGCTCAGCTCATATTTCCATGCGACTCTCAACCAAGGGCAGTTTTACCCGGCAGGGACATTTGGCAACGTCGAGACATTTTTGGTTGTCGCAGCTGGGGAGGTGCTACTGGCATCGGGGGGGTACAGGCCAGGGGTGCTGCTCACTATCCTGCAGCACAGCGAGGTATCTGACCCTGCGTCAGGAGCACCGAAGTGGAGGACGCAGTCCTAGAAGGAGCGCTGGCCGAGGGCTGGGAGTGCCACTTCACATGGACAAGTCGCTTCTGTCTGAGTGGTTTCCTCACCTGTAAGTGAGGGGCGGGGAGCAGAGGCACCGTCTCCCCTGGGAACTCTCCCGGACCCTGCCCTCGCCCTGTCCCCTCAGGTTGTGTTAGATACGCTGCCCTCCGATTTTCTGTGTTCCTGTCCCGCCCTGCTGTGGGCTCTCTCAGAGCAGCAGGGGCGAGTGTCTCTACACTTAGGGCCTCACAGTGTGCCGCCCAACACTGCCCGGCAAGCAGCGGGTGTTCAGTAAATGTAAGTTAGATGCCACCATAGCACACACTTATCGAACACACATTTTTTGCCAGGCAGCACAGGTAACACGGAATCTTGGCCCTACCTTTAGAGTAGCTCTGGGACGGTGCCCTCTGCAGGGAGGGTCCCTCTGGCTGGGGCGGAGGCAGGGAGACTGGGTTGTGGGACCCTATGGTTTAGGAGTGACCTGAGCCTGAGTTGTGGGACCCTATGGTTTAGGAGTGACCTGAGCGGCAGACACAGCAGACGTGTGAGGTGTGATGGGGAAGAGGAGACTGCCTAGAACCAGGATGTGCAGGGTCTGGCCCACTGCCCTTGCTCCTCCCTCCTGGGAGGTGACCCCAGACACTCTGCACCTGCCCTCTGCGCACCTGCCCTGAAAGCGTCTCTAACTGCAGGGCCAAGGGGACCACCAGGGGCCTGGTCTTACAAAGGTGACCTTGGGGCCTGCTGGATCCGCAGCCATCTCTTGGCTTGGAGCAGGTCCAAGGGGCCATTGTGATCCTTCCTGCTCGTTCTCTTGCTCTCCTTCCCCCCAACACCCTCTCCCAGCTTTGCTGGGGCCTGTGGGTGTGCTGCGTGCCCTGTTCCCTGGCTGGGCCTGCTGCCCTGTAAACTGCTAGTCCCTCAGGTCTCCTGCAGCTCCTTGGGCAGGCTTTCCAGATCTGGGATGCTGATGACAGTGATAGGAACCAACCTCTAGAGAGTGCTGTCTCCTTGGGGGCACTTTGTGCATATCCCAATCTTGTCCTCATCAGCAGGCTCGTTTCATCAGCGAGGAAGCTGAGGGCCAGGGAGCGGCAGAGCCAGGACCTTTCTGAACACCAGCACACCTGCTCTGAATGCATCTACCACTGCAGGGCCTCGGGGACCACTGGAGATGGTTGTGTGTGTCCCGGCCTCTTACAGGACAGGTGTCAGGAGCCCAACGTGGAGGCAGCTGCCCTGGTCCAAGCCCACAGTGAGAGGACCCCTGCCCTAAGCCGCTGTGGAGACTGCATGTGTGAGTGTGCACAGGTCTTTCAAGGCAGCATCCGGCACGGAGGAGGCGCTTTCTTTTATTATTATTATTATTATTATTATTATTATACTTTAAGTTCTAGGGTGCATGTGCACAACGTGCAGGTTCGTTACATAGGTATGCACATGTCATGTTGGTTTGCTGCACCCATCAACTCATTATTTACATTAGGTATTTCTCCTAATGCTATCCCTCCCCCAGCCCCCCAGCCCCCGACAGGCCCCAGTGTGTGATGTTCCCCGCCCAGTGTTCAAGTTATTTCATTGTTCAATTCCCACCTATGAGTGAGAACATGCGGTGGTTTTCTGTCCTTGTGATAGTTTGGTGAGAACAATGGTTTCCAGCTTCATCCATGTCCCTGCAAAGAACATGAGCTCATCCTTTTTTATGGCTGCATAGTATTCCATGGTGTATATGTGACACATTTTCTTAATCCAGTCTGTTATTGATGGACATTTGAGTTGGTTCCAAGTCTTTGCTATTGTGAATAGTGCCACAATAAACATACGTGTGCATGTTTATAGCAGCGTGATTTATCATCCTTTGGGTATATACTTAGTAATGGGATCGCTGGGTCAAATGGTAATTCTAGTTCTAGATCCTTGAGGAATCGCCACACTGTTTTCCACAATGGTTGAACTAATTTACATTCCCACCAACAGTGTAAAAGCATTCCTATTTCTCCACATCCTCTCCAGCATCTGTTGTTTCCTGACTTTTTAATGATTGCCATTCTAATTGCGTGAGATGGTATCTCATTGTGGTTTTGATTTGCATTTCTCTGATGACCAGTGATGATGAGCATTTTTCATGTGTCTGTTGGCTGCATAAGTGTCTTCTTTTGATAAGTGTCAGTTCAGATCCTTTGCCCACTTTTTGATGGGGTTGTCTTTTTTCTTGTAAATTTGTTTTAAGTTCTTTGTAGTTTCTGGATATTAGCTCTTTCTCAGATGGGTAGATTGCAAAATTTTTCTCCCATTCTGTAGGTTGCCTATTCGCTCTGATGGTAGTTTCTTTTGCTGTGCAGAAACTCTTTAGTTTAATTAGATCCCATTTGTCTATTTTGGCTTTTGTTGCCATTGCTTTTGGTGTTTTAGTCATGAAGTCCTTGCCCATGCCTATGTCCTGAATGGTATTGCCTAAGTTTTTTCTAGAGTTTTTATGGTTTTAGGTCTAACATTTAAGTCTTTAATCCATCTTGAATTAATTTTTGTTTAAGGTGTAAGGAAGGAATCCAGTTTCAGCTTTCTACATATGGCTAGCCAGTTTTCCCAGCACCATTTATGAAATAGGGAATCATTTCCCCATTTCTTGTTTTTGCCAGGTTTGTCAAAGATCAGATGGTTGTAGATGTGTGGTGTTATTTCGGAGGGCTCTGTTCTGTTCCATTGGTCTATATCTCTGTTTTGGTACCAGTACCATGCTGTTTTGGTTACTGTAGCCTTGTAGTATAGTTTGAAGTCAGGTAGCATGACACCTAGGAGGAGGCACTTTCAGAGTATACATTCGCCTCACTTCTTGCCTGAAATGACCCGGGCCACATTCCCCCACAGCTACACATCACTACCTGTGTCCTAGGAGTTAGTGGGAAGGGAAGATGCACGTGGCTTGCACTTGGTCACGTTGGGCGTCCTTCATCCTGTGCCCTATAGAGTGAGGAGCCCAGAGGCTGCTGGCCCGGGGACTGCTGGGCTGGGCTTGCCAGTGTGGGTGGCCTCTGCAGGAGACAGTATGGGCTGGAGCCAGATGTTTCATGTTGCTCTAGGCTGGGAACCTGGGCAAGGCCCCTTCCTCCCCAGGTCAGCGGCTCCACTGTCATGTACCTAGACACAGGTGGTAGCATCACAGCAGTCTCACCACAGACTCGCCAATGAAGTCTTACAAGTCCAGTGCCCCTTGATGGGTAAAAGGGACGGAGCAGCTCAGATTCAAAAGGGAGTCTTGCCCCAGAGGCCTCCCCTCACCCCACGACAGTTCCTGGACCTTCTGTGGGACCCTATGGTTTAGGAGTGACCTGAGCAGCAGAGTAAGTGAAGGCTGAGATCTCCAGCCCGGGACAGGGCTATGGAGCCCCATTTCGTGGTGTGCGGGACGTCCTGCCCCAAGCCCTCATGGATGGTCAGCCAGAGGCACCAGTGGGCAATGCCAGGGCCTACTGCACCTCTCAGGAGCTGAGCTCTGGTCCTCTAGAGGCCGGGCCCCTGGGGCAGTGGGTGGGGCTGCTTTCTTCCCTGGTCTCCACAGGCCTTATGGGCATGAGGCAGCCTTCCTGCCCAGTGCACAGTCGCTAAGGAGGGTATGATGTGAAGTCATGACTGTAGGGCCACACCGAGGCTCTCAGTAGACCCAGGACTGCAGGAATTCCAGGGCTTCCCATCAGTAAATTAAATTAACAGTATTGAAATGCAGTATCTATGTCAGGAAGGCCACGAGTGTTCCCCTTGGTGACCACATGCATACTTTTGGAAATATCAGATCCAGTCACAATCCAGCCTGGCGCTTCGCCTTGCTGGCCTTGCCTTGCTGTGACTGGAGCCGGAACTGACTGGCTGTTGTCTAAGCCAGCTGTGCCCACCCCTGGCTTCTGCGTGTGTCAGGTACAGGCCGGGCACTGTGTCACACAGGGGCATGAATGTGCTGCAGTGCACCGAGGGGACCTTGACCAGCAGCTTTGGGGAGTACTGGTCGGGGGAGCATCTGAATGGAGTGTGTTCAGGAGGGATGGGAGCTGGGAAGCATGGCACCTCTTCGGAGTTTTGGCACAAAGAGGATAGGATGGGTGACAGCTGGCAGGAGGCATAGGCTCGAGAGGTTTTTAGAGAATCTTCCATTGCTTCTGCTTCTCTCCTCTGTGGCAAGCTGCAGGAGGCCTATGAGGGGCTTTGCAGAGGTACTGGTACAGCTCAGAGAGGTTTCACAGGCTTCACCCATGGGGTGGCCAAAAAGTGCTCCTTGCCCAGTACCTGGTGCATTTCAGCTTAGTGAGTTAAAGATTTGGAGCCACTTTGCTGAGCTTTTGCACAAAGAGGACGACATGGGGTATAGGACAGGACCTGGACTGAGACTTTTACACACTGGGAAGAAAGCTCTGCTTGTAATCTGTCAGGCTGCTGTACAACTTTTAGACATCAAAAAGCCCTCATGCTTTTACTCCTGTGGCAAAACGCTTGTTGGATAGAGGAATTCAAACTTGATTGCAGCCCTCCTGGCTGTCAACGGTGTGTTAGCCTGTTTTCTGCTGCTATAACAGAGTACCACCGAGTGGGTAATGGTATTGTACAGCAATGTATTGGTTTACAGTTCTGGAAGCTGGGAAGTATGAGGTTGAGGGGCTGGCATCTGGTGAGGGCCTTCTTGCTGTGTCATAACATGGTGGAAAGCATCACATGGCTGAAGGGCCCAGGGAGCAAGAGATAGTAAAAGGGGCAAACCCACTCTCATGGTGACAAACCCACTGCTGCAATAAGGGCATTAGCTCATTTGTGAGGGCAGAGCCCTCGTAAACTAAACATCTCTTAAAGGTCCCACCTCTTGCCAAGCATGCTGGTGCACACCTGTAGTCCTAGCTACTCGGAAGGCCGAGGTAGGAGGATCACTTGAGCTCAGGAGCTGGAGACCTGCCTGGGCAACACAGAGAGATCCCCCTCTCAAAAACCAAACAATTTTTTTTTTTCCCCAAAAAGGTCCCTTCTCTTAATACCATTGCAGTGGCAACCAAATGTCAACCTGAGTTTTGGACAAACATTCAAACCGCAGCATTCTGCCAGGCCCACCCCCGCAAAATTCGTGTCCTTCTCACGTACAAAATATATTCATTCCATCCCGATAGCCCCCAAACGTCTTAGCTCATGCCAGCAGCAGCTCCTAAGCCGAGTCTCATCTGAATCAGATGTGGGTGAGACTCAAGGCATGGTTCATCCTGAGGGAAATTCCTCTCCAGCTGTGAACCTGTGAAATTAAACAAGTTTCATGCTTCCAGAATACAATGGTGAGACAGTTGTGGGATAGACATTTCTGTTCAGGGAGAAACCGGCCAGAAAAAAGGGGGTAACTGGTCCCAAGTACTTCCAAAACCAACCGTGAAGAGCAACATTAAATCTTAAGACTCGGGAATGATGTTCCTTGACCCCACATCCTACCTCCTGGACACACTGGGGTCCCGGCAGCCCCAGCCCCATGGCTTTGGTGGGCTCGGCAGCCACAGCAGCTCTCCCAGGCTGATGTTGCCAGCTGGTCAGGCTGTAGTTCTGGAGTCTCAAGGGCAGCCCAGCCC